GACTGCCCTGGATCAATGCTTTAAATGATGCAATGTTTGCTTGTAAGAGGAGGTGCTGCAGGAATCCCTCCAAGTCATAATTTAAGCACATTAATATATGTGTTCAAATTTTAAGAATTGGCATATATATTCATCTTCTAAAAAGTGTATGTACAAAGATGAATATATATCCCAATTATTACATTAGAACATATGTGTGTATAAGTTCAAATTAAGAATCTTGTTGAGATCTTGGTGCTCTCAAAGTTCCTTTCAGCCCTTATGGATCTATATTAGATTTGTTTTTATCTAGTAGCAGAATATGTAAATCTACATTTTACATATTGCATATCATATACAGGTGTTGGTGCTGTGGCATTGGCAGCCCTAGGACTGACCCTCACAGTTTGCCTTTCAAGGTTTTCAGACCTAGGGGAGAGGGCCACTTTTCATGACTGCAAGCTCCTGTCTGGCCAAGGGATCTCTGACTGCTGCAGCCCCTTCCCTGTTTCACAGAGGGCGGCTCTGGCTCAGGTTAGGTGATGGGGCTGGGAGATGGGAGGCACTTTATGTGCTTACCCCATGCACAGAGGACCTGTGTTTGTACGAATATGGGCAGGGGAGGTGTGTAACAGGACTGGCGCTGTTGCACGTGTTCATAGATCTGAGTTCCAGAACTACAGGCACTGCCAGCACCCAGAGCAGCTCAGGCAGACCAGCAGGCTTCATCTCGGGGCTTGTTTCACCTCAGTGCTACCTCTTGTCTAATGGACACCTTCCAAAAACCACTGGGGGACTAGGCTTGGAGAGTCCTGGGGCCAATAAAATACTTGAATCGTCTCACTGTGTCTTCCCCACATCAGCCTGGCCTTGGGAAGCAGGCTTGGTCCCGCACAGACTTGCCAGCACTGTGCTGTGACCCCAGCAAGAAAAATCGAGAAAGGAAGTTATTGGGGAAAATTGTACTGTATCCTTATGCCCTTCTTTTCCTGTTCAGATTTCTATCTTTTATATTTATTAATAAAGTATCTTTCATTTATGGTGGGGTGTCTGACTGTGTGTGTTTTCTCTCACCCTGGCTGACAAGGAGGAATCTTAATAGTGTCTACTTGGTTACTTGTACACCACAGATTTCCTCCTGTGCACAGCAGCATCCCAGCCCCGCACCCAGCGCCCTGGAGTGGGACAGCAACAGCAGGAGCAGGGAGGCCCTGCACTAGCAGGGATGTAAGAGGGAGGGGGCAGGGAGAGGCTGAGGGGATGCAGCAGTGAAAAAGAGAGGAGCTCCCAGGGAACAGGCTGAAGCTGAACAGGCCAGGGACACAGGGGCATAAGACAGAGTATGCTTGGGGGCAAGGACCAGAGCTGGGAGGAACCTGCCTGGGACAGTTTTGGAGAAAGGCCGGGGTCTGGAGGAAGCCCAGCTGAGAGCCTGCAAGTAGGAGTAAGGAAAGGCTGTGGGGAGCAGTATTTCCTACCCTGTGCTTAAAATGACATTTACTGACTTTACAGGCATGTAGTTTTAAGTATACTTTTCTTACATGTCCATAAATGTACAGGGCATCTGTGATCCTGGAGAAGCCCAGCTTACACTGGGTGGGTCCAGGAGAAGGCCAGGGGCTGGACCACATCCCGCAGAGCAAGGCTCTCTCCCAGTGCCCTGACCACTGAAGAACCAGAGGCTTGCCCCCAGTCTCTCTGCCAGTGATTCTCTACCTCTTCAGACTCAAGGCGTCCTCCATCGCTTTTCTGAATTTCAGTTCCCCGATTTGAAAATGGCTGGCTCGGTGTGTCTTGTCACCGCGTCCCTGCAATGCTCTGAGACGCACAGGTGATGGAGACAAGATGTTTTTAACATGGTACAATAGTTGCATAAAACCAATGATGCTAAAAGCTATGCATATAACGGAGAACAATACCCTTGATATCCTGCTGCTGAATTGTAAGGCTAGGAGGTTTTATCCCCCCATATTAAATAGTTTTAAATGTGTACTTGATATAATAATATATATCAGATTGAATACATTTATTTAATCAAATACATATATTAGATTTAGTACAACATAATATACAAAAGAATTTCCAATACATAAAATATGTTTATAAAGCAAATGTTATAGTATTGGTAATGCAGTGTCTAAACCAAATATAGTATTGTATATGTAGGATGTTTATAAAGTCATTGCTATAACATTTGTATTTGTCTTGTGCAAAAACTGTGCCCTCAGCACAAACCTGCAAAACTGTAGCTAGTTCTCCCCACTCTGGGAGACCCATTTTTTCTGTTACTTTGTTCCCACCCACGCCAAAAGCAGGCACGAAGAATTAACCAATCCATGCCCGTGATGCGAGAGACGTCATTCAGCCTATAAAACCCATGCGCAAGCTTCCGCCTAGCAGAAGCAGCGCTCGTCAGCTCATCGAGGAGGAACTCTTCCTCCCCGCCCGGGCTTGGCCAGCCTTGACGTGCTTCTCCGCCACTGATTAAGAAATTCCCTGGCATACCCCTTCCCAGTGCACTCGTTAAGACCTCGTTCGTCTCTGTATCGAGAGGGTCTCTGCAGCTGACGATCCCAATCTCCCAACGCAATCGTTATCTGTTATCTGTTTTGACTTGCGCCCACGCATCCATCCCACTGACGTGTAAGTAAAACGAAAGCAAAAAAAAATCTTGCAACCATTACGCGTGCGTAGCTGCCTCCTTTACGAAACCCGCGCAAGGGGAAAAGACCCACCAGCATCACCGACCCGCGCGCGGCCCCCCCACGCACGACAGTATTATATAAAACCAGATCTGTAAAAGTTAAAGTATTTCTATGATCATATTTAGTCTCGCTCCTCCTGCTTTATAGTGTGGTATTTATAGATGTTATATTTTTACAAAAAGGAAATGTTATAGTATTTATTGTTGCTGCTGTGGCAGCTATCTTAAAGTCCTATTTTGTATTCTATCTACTGCATTTCATCAATCCATTCCATGCTTCAAGGTCTCTGCTGGTCACCAGGAAGAATAGACAATGAAAGGATATTTCCCTGGATTAGGAGAGAGCCCCAATTTCCCTGGAACATGAGCAGAGCTGTGCCGCAGCTCCTAGTAGTCCTGAGAAACCCTCCACACCTCTGGCTGATAGGTTTCACCCACATGCTCAGGCTCATACCAATCACTGGGGCAGGACAGCACTTCCTTCAGGGCAGATATGCAAGGATCATTGTTTTAAGTCTTTATTTTTGCCTTCCTCTGTAGTGTGGGGAAGGATGAGCTGGGCATATTTTACCTGGGTAGATATGCACCTACCTCTCATCTTTTACCTAACAAGTTTCCTGCCATTGGGTAGAGATGCCCGCGCAGGATCGGCAGCAGAGACAAAGTCTGAGGTTTAGCTTTTCCATCATGCACAACCCAGATTTTGTCCCAGGCAACAAATTAACCCTGACAACGGAGCAGGGGGCAGCAAGGCCTGAGGGGCTGCAGAAATAGTGAGCGCGGTGCATTACAAAGGCGATTTGAAGGGAGAACGTAAATTCTCTATAAGAGTTGGTCCCAGTGCTAAGGTGCTCAGCCATGAGGAAGAGGAGGCTGAAGAGAAGATCCCTCCAAAAACACAATCAGCTGCAGCCCTGCCACCTGGAACAGGCACAGCCCTGGCAGGAAGTGGTACCTGCCACACTTCCTGCAACACTATTGCAATTTTCCTTCTTAAAGCTACTTGTTACCTGTCAGCTCTGTGTTTCTGAGGGAGCCCTGGCACCCATCTTGCTGGATTTACAAAGGACTTTTTCTATTTCCGCCTCCCCTCCCCTCCCCTCCCCTCCCACACACACCTACTTCCTCTACCCAGAACTAAGAAGAAGAAAAGTTTAATAGGCATCTCGGGCCGTACATTCCCCAGTCCCGGTATGGGAGGCCTATTTAAACTTGATTGCCTAAAACTCGGTTGCTGGGTTAGGAAATGCTGAGGCAGGAGACCGAATCAGAGGGAGTATGGGCGACATCTGAACAATGGTTAAGGGTTCATCACAACGTCTAGCCCATTGGAGCCCTGACCACACATGCTGGCATACTTTTCCCGGGATAACTGGTGGAAGTCCTCCCCACAAAGTTTATGAACACTCCAAGTAATCCCCTTAAGTATGTTAAAAGACCACAATAAGATCTGAAAGTCATGCTAAGCTGAGGCTTATTCACAACAGGTAAAATACAAAACACTGATGCTGACTTCACGGTGCAAGCACAGCTAAGCCATCTGAGAAAAAACAATGTGGTATCCTTCCAGTATGTCTTCTATATTCAGAATAATTTCAAGCTGGCTCCTAGGGGTCTGGTCACTCCTTAAAACTTGCTGTTTTTCCTGGTTGTTAATCAGTTTCTTGAGACGTTCCAAACCAGATAACCCCTTGTCACTGAGAGAGGTAATTCATTTAAATTGAAACTGTTTATATAACAGGCTTTTCCCTGTCAATTATGGGTGGGGACCCTCTTGATTTACACAATTAAAAGAATGCTTTGAAGAGGCTGGACTAAGGGTATAAGAAAGCTGTAAAGCAGCAAACAGGGTGCTTTGAGAGAGAGAAATCTCTCAGACACCATCCGCTGTTGTTCTCAAGAAGCTTGGAGAAACACATCATCTCCCTTCAAGAATCATGCTGGGAACTTTGCTTGTCAACAAATCACCCAAGTGCCTTGGAACGGGGAGATCCCAGCTCTCGCTCTCTCTCTCTCTGTCTTTCTCTGTCTTTTCCTTTTTCTCTCTAGCCATAGCTTTCTGAACATAAATTGTATTAGTTAAGCTTGAGCTAGGTTTCCCCAGATACTCAATTAAACCAGGTAATATTGTAATTGTTTTTGTTTGTTTTCCCTTACATGGCTATTACTACTAGTACCATTATCAATTTCCTATACTTAGCAATAAATAACTTTTATAGTCAAACAGATGGTAATCCGGTGTAGTTTTCCTTCTCTACTTCCGCCTCCCCACTCACTCTGCAGCAACGCTTCTTTTACCTAAGCCAAAGATCCCTGTGAAGCCCAGAAATACTGTGGGGTCTGCTCATCAAGATGCTACCACTACTAGGACAGTTAGGGCAAAAGATTAGGACATGCTGAGTTTGAGACACATAAGGGGATCAGCTTGTATAGGCTGGTTGACCCAGTTTGGCTCAGACATGCCCTAATGAACTGAATGCTGGCCCATGGGGGTGTCAGCTGGACACCCAGCCGGATTCAGAGGGATTCTGTTCACCTGTGTGCTTGTATCTGACTGCAGTTTATTGTTACCTTGATGAACTGATTTCTGGCATATGAGGGTGTCAGCCTGTCCATGCTGATCAACCCAGCTGGGTCAGGCATGTCATGTTAA